CAGTAAAAGAAAGGAGGAAGCGGATTTAGGGGAGGCAGGAACCAGGAGCATGGTGGGTAAAACATTAGGCAGATCTAGAGGACTTTGAATTAAGAGAACAGGAGAATGAATACCCAGCCCATGAATTCCCATTCTGTGGCTCCTCAGAAAAGAAGAAGTCAGGACAGGCATGGAAACAGTCACACTCCAGAGGTTACTCAGTCGGGTCTCTTTTCCCCCCCTGAACAGATGACGTCAGTGAGCAACATAGTGACATCATTCAAGAAGAAGACAGGCCAGTCTAAAGAAGAGGACTGGCCATTGCTGTCTGGAAAGTGTGGGAGGCTCTGCGGAGCTCTTCATTCAGCTTTGACCCCACTCGCGCCCTGCCGGGGAGTTTGCATTAGCAACACCCGGGGTCTCCCAGCAGAGAAGAAAAGCAGACACATAGCTTTCCTTCCATTTTTTTAAAAATTGGTTTAATTTGATGTAAGTTTCCTCAATGATGTAAAAATACTGTGGGAAGGAGTCCTTTGGGAGGTGGGGAGCTGCAGTTGGCATCTGAGGTGCCACTTTTGCTGTCACTCTTGGCTCTGTCTGGGCTGACATACTGTGACAGACAGGGATTTGGAGAGCACACACATGGGGGAAGCACTTGGTCTCAGTGCCCTTGGCCATTCCCCCAGCACAAAAGGGAATACATGGGGTGACAGGGAAACTTCCTGATGGCTGCCCAAGTGAGAAACCAGGCCACGGCAGCTCCCTGAGAAAGGTGATGTGTCTGCTACCGAAGCAAGTCAGAGGGAGGTGTTTGGGTCCTACACTCCTGCGCTTCTGCCTGGGCCTTGACTCTCCCATGCTCCACGTGCTTGGCCATGTCTCTTGACCCCTCACGAGCCTCAGTTTTCCTCATTTGTGAAATGGGTGAAGACATTCCTACAGGAGCCAGGCTTGTGGCRAGGCAATCTGGGGTGTCAAAGTGCCTAGGAGGTGCTCAGTAGATATTAGTTACCTTCTTTGCCTTCCTTAGTGGAAGAAAAAAACTGTTCACTGTCAATTAGGAGTTGCCTCAGACACTTTAGTTCTTTGCAGAATGGTTTCCAAGAGGCCATTGTCAGAGGTCAGGGGKATCCTTTTCCCCCAGGAGGTATGATTCTTTACAAAAGAGGTAGGAACTGATAAGAGGAAGTGCCTTTCATTAGAAACTTACATTTTTACAGAGCTTCACATTAAAAGCCTCCTCCTCAGGGATGGACCTAGGATTAGCTTTCAGCTTTTCTTTCTTCTCTTGCTTTGAAAGGAGGCAAGAGGCAAGAGTATCTGGTGATAAGAACTTGGACAAACCCGTCCACCAGGCCCAGTTTGTCTCCCCACCTCTGTAATGGGAAAACTTGCATCATCTTAATTCTTAAAAATATTAGGAGGATATACTGATCAAAAACACTAAGTTTCAAATGAAAATGACAAGTGATGAGTTTGGGTTGCTAAAGCTTCCAGTAGATCCTTGGGTGGGTTTTCTTTTCCCCCTAATTCCATCCAAATCCCTTGAAGTCAGGGACCACATAAAGGTGCAATGGATGTGTGCTAAACACAGACTCTGACTTGAATTTGCCCTTGAATTTGTATTCTTTAATGTTGCATATTCTGTTCCAATGGGCAAGACTTCGGGTTAAAAGTGAACTTCTCTTCTCCAGTACCAGAGAGGGAACTGAGACTCCCAAAATGAGAAGCTGGTTTTCTGTAGTAACCTGCAGGTGTGGTTGGGAAAGTCTGTTTTTCTGGAGGAAGAGACTACACTGAGAAAATCACTAGACATGTGCCCTGTTCCCAACTCAGGACACTGGGGAGTCTGGAGCTGGTGACAATTCATATCTCTCAGAAATAGCTGTGAATTATATTTCCACTTGGTTCATTCCTTTGCTGCATAGTAGCTCTTGGACTGGATCACTCTGTAAACTGTTGGTGTCATTTCAGAATGAGATGTTCAGGTTGCTTCTGGACTCAATGGAGATTGACTAGTCTCTCTTTTAGTCTTCCATGACTAAATTTAAGAGTCACTATACAAAGGCATCTCAAAGAAAGAAAAAAAAAAAAAGACAAAAGTTAGGGGGAGAACCACTAGCTAGGAATGCAATGTTTTGCAATATCACTGGGATGTTTCCCACAACTTCCTTTTGCCCACACACGTAACGATAGGAAATAGTTGAGGGTTTTTCCACTACCAAATGGGAGCTTCAAGGGCTTGGTGCCAAACACTGTGAAGCCCTGACCATCTGAGCTGTGAGTGTTGTCACTTATCCGGACCCTGTGTTCACATATATACTCTGGGTTAGTTAAAGAGCCCAGACACTGAAGTTCTTCACATTTCAAGGATGTATGAAGAATTGGAGCTCTTTTTTCCCTTTTAACATGATCCACACCCAAGTTCACAAGCCTGTCAACAGTAGGTTACAGCSTTTGTGTGGCAAAGTCCAAGCTGGACTTGAAAAAAATGTTATCTGCATGTATTGTTAATTCCAGACCATGAGATACTATTTATCAGAACCAGGAAGGTAAACATTCCAGGGCTGTTACAATTACATTGCTTTTCCTCAAAAACGGTTGAACACTGGGGAGGGGGCTCTGAAGTCCTGCGGCTTTGATATTAGCTCCATTTCTTACAAGCACATACAAGACCTATAACTGCAGCTGGGAAATACGTGATGGAAAATTTCTATAACCTGTGCACTGAAACCTGGAGAATCATGGTTGCTGGGCAGAATTTATTATGATGCAATAAGTGCCAACATATATTCTCATTATGGGACTGGCTAGAAACTGCTGCAAAGAAAAATAAGCAGATTCCTCTGCATTATTTACTTTTAATATTTGGTGGGTAAAGTTAGGAGAAATTATGAGTTTATGGATTTTTTAAGATTATGGAATAAAGTTATTTTTAAATAAATGTTTCAGCGATTTTTGATTTAGAGCCGACTAGTAAATGTAAAGATTTGATTAAAACCAGTTTGCCAGACTAAAATAAAATTTTTTCCCGGCTGTCCTAATATTGGAAACGATATTGTTCCCGTCACTATTTTTATTCTTTTCCATGATTATACATACAGAATACATCAATATATACATTAGCTGGGTACTGTGGGGGCWCCAGAGGTTTAGGCAGGAGGGATCACAAGTTCAAGGCCAGCCTCAGCAACTGAGTGAGACCCTGTTTCAAAATAAAAGGGCTRGGGATGTGGCTCAATGGTAAACTGACCCTGGGTTAAATCCCTAGTCCCCACCACCCAGAAAAACAACAATAAAGCATTGCTGGGTAAAATCTGCAGGCCCCCAACTCAGAAAAACAAAAATCAACAGTTTTGCTTGCCTATCATTTTATACAGGGCCTTGGGTTCAGTCCCCAGCATCTCAAACAAACAAACCAAAAAAAAAAAAAAAAAATCCCATTAGGACCTGAAGACTCCGGAGAAGTGAGGAACTTGGGAGACAAAGAATGAAGAAGAGAAAAATGGCAGAGGTTGGGGAGTGTAGGAAACAGACTGGAGCCATGTTTTTTTAAAAAGTGGGAGGGTTGGGCAAAGGAGACTGGAGAATAAAATTGGGATCTAAGGAGGCTAGGTGATAGAGAAAATAGGAACCCAGGTAGAGGAGACCAACTCTGGGGCTGAGGATAAAAGGGTAGGTTCAGGGTTGGGTGAAAAACGCCCAKCGAAAAGGAGAGGAGGAAAACGGGATCTGGCAAGGCTGAAGTGGGCAGCAAGAAACGGGCAGGCAGCCAAAGAACAAGGTGGATGTGAAGAGAGCGGGGATCCAAAACCGAACTGTAGGGTGGAACCAACCACAGGTGTCACTCGGGTGGCCTGAGAAGAAATGGGGCGAAGAGGTGATGCTCCTGAACCTGAAGGGTGAACCGGGCTGGGTTCACAAAATAGGCACCGGTAAAATAACCAAAAACATTAAAACACGAATTAAAAACACGGGAAACAGGGCTGGTTAAAAGGCAAATAAGTTTAAAGACCCGGGCGAGAAGGAAAACAGGGAGTAATAGGAAGGAGGGAGACTGACCCAAGTTAACGCTGGAACCGCGGGGAAAACCTGGCGAAAGAGAACCCGGCAACCTTAAGTGGAGAGCATTTTGGAGACTAAAACTGGCTGGACGCAGTAAGAAACTCCAAGGCCATCAACGACTATTGGGGACAGGGCAACTTAGAAAAGCCATCTTTTCAGTTTCCTTTCCTCACTCCTCCCCGGGCTCCTTAAAGCTCCGAGGCGAGCCAACTGACCTCAAAGGGGCAGTGCCTAAGGCTTAGGTAGAAAAAAGGCGGACGAGGTGACACTCTCGGGGGAGGGGGCTCAGTTCCTCGCACCTGCTCTCATCCCCCCCCCGCCCCGCCTCCCGTACCACCCTCGGCCCACTGCTCCGCGACCACCCTATCTCCACTCCGGCCCCTCTTCCCCCACCCGGCCCTCGCCCCACTTCCGTCCTCCACGCCATTCCGCCGGGGTCCCGCGCCCCACTATCCCGTCGGCATTCCCCAGACCCCGCTCTCCAACTGCCTCTCGCCCCCCACCTCCCCGACGTCCCCGGCCTTTCTCTAGCTCTCATCGTCCCCTTTCCCTCCGACCCCCACCCCACGACGCAGGTTTTAGCTAGTTCGTGAGCCCCCCTGCCCGGATTCTCCGGGTTCGCGACCCCGACACGCCCGCCCACAGAGCGGGTCACGCCCGCGTTCCTCCCAGTCCCACGCCGACCCCTCGCGGCCAGCTCGTTTTACGCGGTCTCGGCTCGGCCCCGCCCCCGGCCCGTCTCCTTCCGCCGCGCTCTCGGCCACGCCCTCGGCCCCGCCCCGTCTCCTTCCGCCGCGTCCCCACCCCCCGCTGTTATCCTGCCCGCCCCGCCCCCGCGCGTCCCCTCCCGCGCCCGCCGCCATGTGACGGGAAGCAGCTGATGGCCTCTCCGGGTGGCGGCGGGCGCGGCAGCGGCGGGGCCGGGGAGGGGGCCGGGGCCGGGGCCGGCGCGGGGGTGGGCGGCGCGGGGGCGGCATGAGGGCCAGCGGCCCGGGGGGCTGAGGCGCCCGTCGCCTGCCGCGCGAACAGCGCGCGTCCTCCATGGAGGCCGGAGGTGAGTCGGGCCGGGCGCTCCCGCTCCCGCCGCGCGGAGCCGAGGCCCGYTGCCCAGGGAGGGCGGGGACCCCGCGGTGGCTTGGCGGCGGGCGGGCGCGAGAGGGCGCGGGGCCGGGGCGGCGCGCGCGGGGCCGGGCGGCGGGGTGCGCGCCGGCGCCCAGCTTTGTTTCACTTTCGCTGTCAGTGGCCACCACCCGACTCCTGCCGTCCCCTGGTCCTGGGCGGACGGGCTGCTGGGCCTGGGAGCCCCAGCCCCGGGACCGTGTGGAGCGCCGAGCCCTAGACGGACCGGGGGCGGTAGCCCAGGGGCCCTTGACGTGCTCGCAGCCTGGGTGGGAGTCGGCCCTGCGCCCTCCGCTCGTGGACCAGCCGCTTAACCCCCCCCCCCAACCCACGTCTCGGTTTTGTCCCTGAACGACGTTTAATAATAGTGCCTGCCTGGGTGGGTGGTTGGGTGCTTCCCGGCCTGCCTGTTCCCACGAATTGGGGCCCTGTTCGAACTACATGCCKAGCGGCTCCCTCCCGAGAGTTAATTCGGTGGGGTGGGGCTGGGAATGCTGATCCCTAGTGACACTTAGGATCATGTAAGTTTAGAAAAACCACGAGGTCTAGTGCTCGCCCCGTCCTTGTTAACACCCCTTACTATCAGGAAAAAAAAAGTGGAAGCCAGAATATTGGATGCACTTTCATCCAGTTCAGATGAACACCCCGTCTCAATGGAAAAGATGAGGTGGTTGTACAAAGGCCCAAACCTCCAGGGGCGTCCCTTAGGTTTACCTGGTCTAACCTCCTTGCCCCCGGTCCCTGTGTATAAAGAAGTTTAGGATGGATTCGAGATTTATTCTGAGAGTCCTTAACTGAAGATTTAAAAGCGGTTTCCTTAAGGGAACTTCTCAGAAGGGGTCCAGGCCTAAGACTCAGAATTTGTTCCAGAGAGCATCTTGCAGTGAAGTTAAGTCTTCATTTTGGCTGCTGGTGGCTCGTTATTGTGGGTGGGTTGGTTGCCAACCAGGATTTCCCTGGGGTGGTGTTACTTTTTAATTTAGGAAGTGACATTTCTTTGTTTGCTGGAGCCAGGCAGTCAAAAAGGTGTAGAGGCAGCTTTTTCCAGTTCCCATCTAGATAAGGGCTTTCTTTTCAGTGATTGTGTTACCCATAGAACTCCTTTTAAATGGCCCATTACTGTTTTCCAGGGTCTAGAGTATCTTTTTTATTGCAGTYTTTTCCCATTGATTCCTTATAGTTAAATCTGAAAGGCAATGTGAAACTAACCTGCCTTTTTTAACAGGAATCCGTTTCCAGTTCTGAGGTTTTTCCTACTGATTGACAGCTGTGTTTGCCAGTGTGGGCAAAGTTGTTGAAAGCTGCCAAGCTACTGTTTTTTTTTTTTTTTTAAAAAAAGGTCAGAGTTTTGTGTTGCTTTCAAACTGAATAAAGTGTATTGTAAAGGGATTACAATGGACAATAGTGGAAATCTTCAGAGCAATGGTTTGAATTCATTTATTTATTCAAACTTTTATTGAGTGTCTACTATGTGCAAGGCATTTTCTAGGCTGTTGCTGGCCAATAGAAATAAAGTATAGAGCAGAGTGTGATGTACTCTGTAATGCCAGGTACTCAGGAGGCTGTAGCAGGAGGAGTGCAAGTTTGAGGCCAGCCTGGACAACTTAATGAGAATCTGTCTCAAAAAATAAAAAGGACTGATGGTGTTTCTCAGTGGTAGAGCACTTGCCTAGCAGGTGTGAGTCCCTAGGTTGAATTCCCAGTGTTGCCAAAAAAGGCAAATAAAATAAGAGCCACATACATATAGGTAATTTTAAAAGTTCTGGTAATAGCCACATTTTTTAAGAAAACAATTTTTAAGAAATTAATCTAAAAATTATATCCAGACCACTACATCTAAATTGCAGTGATGCAATTTGATTCATTTATATAATGAAATAAAAATYATTGGATTATTTCAGTGTCTTTTTGTACTGTGTCTTCAAAATATGGTGTGTATTTTATACTTAACAGCCTGTCTCCAGACTGCTACCCATTTTAAGTGGTCAGTAACTACATGTGCTTACTGTGTTGAGCAGAGCAGCCCAACAGCAGTGAAGAGGTATGCAAGTTGAGGTGGGTTGGGGAAAAGATAGACAATAAATACCTGATAGCAGTCAAAGTATAGTGATAATTAACCGGAAAATTAAATGGGTAAAGGAAAATGACAAGATTACTTTAGAAACAGGGAGTTCCCTATGATATAATGGAACAGCCAGGCAAATCTTCCAGGGCCCATGATATGGCTAATGCAAAGGCCCTGAGGCAGGAAAATTCTCTGAGCTTCCTGATATCTGTTAAGGCTAAGTCTTGTGCGTGCGAGGAAGAGAATCCATAGTAAATGTCTTTCCATTTGACCTGATTGTCCAAACATATCCACTGTTTAATTGGAAGACCCTTAAAGGTGTGTGTATGTGTTGTCGGGTATCAGGGAAATGTTGGTTAAAGGTTACGAAATTTAGGAGGAATAAGTTCAGAATGATCTGTGGTACATTATGGTAACTATAGTTAATAAAGAACTCTATATTGAATGCTTGAAAATTGCTGAGAGATTTGTAAGTGCTTTATTACAAAAGAAAGTGTGTGATGTAACGCACACCGTATGTGAAAACACCGGGTGGTATACTATAAACACATCCAATATTTTTCAGTTAAAACTCTGTTTCAAACCAAGAAGGGCCACTGCAGGTATAATCCCAGATGAAGCTGGTCCTCTCGGCTCTGTTTTGTTTTGTTTTCAAGTTCTGCACTAATTATGGTTTTCTTTTCCAGTAGCCAAGTTTAGTTTGGGTTCAGACTCCTTAACAGGAGTCACTGGGTTCRTTCTTCTTGTAGCGCCTGAATTCCTGAACCAAAATAGCAAGAGAGATTGAATTCCTAAATCACAGAAATAGTGTGTACATTTTCAGGAGGCTGATGTTGAAGAAAGATTTCATGTGAAATGTTTGTCTTAAAGCATCATAGTAGTTTAAGGGACTTCATTTTGTATATTTATTCACCAAATATTTATAGACTGCCTGCTGTTTGCCAGGAACTCTGCTGGCACTGGGAATAAACAAGGGTCCTACAGTGTAGTGGACAGGATGGTAGTGGGCGAGGCATGCCAATCTAGTGGTGAAGTTGAAGAACTCCAGAAGGAGTTCTGGAGTTAGGAGAACTCCAGAAGGAGTTGTCATTGGGGTAAGGTACCAGATACAGAGAGGCATCCTCAAGTGAGTAGCTGGTACAAAGGCCCTTAGGTAGCTGAGCACAGTCAGGCCATAGATGGCCAGGGTCCTGGATGTAGCAGGGAGAGGAGAGGCAGGGGCCAGGTAATGCAGGACTTTGAGGGCAGGCAGGAGTTTGAATTTTATTCTAGGAAATGGGAAGTGAGGAGGGATGGTGGGGCTAGAGTGAAAACAAGGAGAGCAGATGGAAGGCGGCCTGGTGGGCAGGTGAGATGATGCCAGGTGGATTAGAACAGTAGCCATAGAGATGGGTTGAAGTAGATTTAGGCAAATCTGGAATCAGACTTGACTGAACTTGCTAATGGGTTTGACTAGGGAGGTAGAAGAAATCAGTGTAACCTATTTAATAGTGTGTGTGGAACGTGGTCATGGGGATGGATAATGAGCATTTAGGAGAGGGAGTGAACCGAATATGAACATGATCAGATGGATTAAAGGAATTTTCTTCCAGCTCAGTCAGTGTCGTTTATTTATTTATTAGTTGTAGTTGAACACAATACCTTTATTCCATTCATTTTTTTTATGTGGTGCTGAGGATCAAACCCAAGGCCCCATGCATGCCAGGGCCCCACTGAGCCGCAATCCCAGCCCCTAGTCAGTATCATTTAATTTGACTACATCTGTATTTCTGGACCTCAGCACTATTGACATTTTGGGCCAGATAATACTTTGTGGGGGTGTCTGTCCCATGCACTGTAGGATATTGAGCTGCATCCCTGGCCTCTACATAACAGATGTGACATCCTTAGTGGTGACAACTAAAAATGTCTCCAGACACTGTGACAAGCCCTCAGGGGACAAAATTACCCCCAGTGGAACTCTTGGGCTACATGAAAAAAACATTAGTAGATTAGGGTTTATGTCACCATAAGAAAATACCTAAAAATAGTATCATTGAAGAAAATAGTGGCATATTCCTGAATAACATCAAGAGACCTGTGTTGGATTTAGAATACAAGGGGACTTCTTACTATATGAACATCACATCCACAAAAGTGAATTCATACAGATGGGATTGTGCAGAGGAAGGGATCACACACACAAATTTCTAGGAAGAATGACCTCTGGCCCCGCCAGTGGCACATGCTCTGTAATCCCAGTGGCTTGGGAGGCTGAGGCAGGAGGATAATAAGTTCAAAGTCAGTCTCAGCAATTTAGTGAGGCACTTAGCAACTCATGGAGACCCTGTCTAATAAAATTTTTTAAAAGGCTGGGGATGTGTGACTCAGTGGTTAAGCATCCCCCCACCCCCTGGGGTTCAATCCCCATTACCAAAAACAAAACAAAACTTTGGTCTGCACAGACACCAATTTAGACAGATCAAATATATGAAAGCCTAGATTTCAATAAGACATCCAGGAATGGATGTTCTCTTTACAGAGGCCTGATATCATTTATTAAAATCACATTTATAGAAAGAATTTTTTGCCACATTGATTTTATAAAACAAAAGCCCCCCCCTTTTTTTTTTCCTGTGGTACATATACTGGAAAAAATGTGTGTGTATGTGTGGTTTTTTTCTTTACCATGTGTTGCATTGATTTCAAGATACCTTGGATTGTATTTCCATTATGTGCCACTGAGAAAAAGGATATTGCTTACTGCCCTGGGTGTGAGTGGTGCAAACTTGTAATCCCAGCTGCTCCAGAGGCTAATTTAGCAGGAGGATCACAAGCTCTAGGTCAGCCTGGGAAACTTAGTGAGACCCTGTCTCAAAAATAAAATTAAGGGCTGGGAATATAGCTGAGTTGGTAGAGTGCTTGCCTTGGTGCTTAAGGTCCTGGATTCAATCCCCAGCACCACACACACAAAAAAGGGGGAGGGTGGAGACATAGCTAGTGGTAGAGTGTTACCTATCATTTGCAAAGCCCTGGATTCAATCCCCAGAACTACAAAGGAAAAACAAAAATACTGCCTATTTAAGAAAAGTTGTCGATTATAAAATACATCCTGATTTCAGGGACGTAATGTAGGAAGACTTAAAAAGATGAGCTTAAAATATAGGTTGTTTGGGGCTGGGGTTGTTGGGGCTGGAGTTGTGGYTTAGTGGTATAGCGCTTGTCTAGCATGTGTGGGATACTGGGTTCGATCCTCAGCACCACATAAAAAAATAAATAAAARAGGTATTATGTCCATCTACAACTAAGAAAATATTTTTTTAAAAATAGGTGGTTTAAGTTAGTATCTTATCTGTAGCCATAAAAGTTCAAAGTCTGGAACTCTTGAMGTGGAACATGTACATATGGAGGTGACCTCATCCAAAATGGAACTCACTTTTTCTCTTAGCGTGTATCATGATGCTAGTGGCCGTAAAATCCATTCTGAAGGCCTTTAGCTTACAGACCTTATCAGCCATGCAGAATCTTCTTTCAGAATTACAGGATTGAACTAGGAATTGCAGTTCAGTCCATGAAGAAGTACCTGTGCAGTACCTACCGACACAAGAGGCCCTGGGAGAAATAAAGATGAAATCATCTTGGTGGTATTGGAAGAGAGTGATTAAATGCTGGTTGCAGAAGAGAATTAAACAGGGTATTATGATAATGGAGGATGTTTCAGTTGTAAGTCTAGGTGTGAACTTGAAAGGGAATGTCTAGCAGACTTGTGTGGCCTGCAGTACAAGAGGTGTAATGGAAAGGAGGCAGTCCTAGGTGTGGTAGAAGAAGCCTGGGCTCAGCTGTTGTATTATGTAGGCTGGTGGGAGTCTGGGAATGTATTTGCAGGGGAAAGTGGTGTGATGAATGTTTTCAGCTCTGGCAGGCTCTCTAGGGGTGGGAAGATTGGGAGACTTGTGAAAGATCTGGGTTAAAGGAGATAGGGAAGGCCTAACCAATAGATCTGAGCAAGAAAAGCCAGGGCAAGGGCTGCCGGAGCTTAGCTTTCCTGATGGGGGAGTGCTGGGAATGAGCCTTGCCATACCCCATACCTTTTCCCAAGATTAGGTTATTTGAGGAGACCTGAAACACATTGGTGGCCTTGCTGTGGTGGAACCATCTAGCATGGCTAACATATCTGACTATTTTTGCATCATCCAACTTAGCCCTAGCCTGGATGCCTCCTGCCTTCTTCCTGCTCAGGCATTCATAGGAAAATGAGGCCTCCATTCAGTGAGTGCACCCTCCTAAAGGTGACTCTTGAGTCATGGTTAACTGGCAACTGGGAGGGATGAGACTGAGTAACCCTGATGGAATGTGGCCTGTGGTCACTTATTACCCTAGGTCATTTAAATGACAACTCCCTCTGGGAATCCATAGTGTTCCCCACATTCTTGAAGAATGCAGCTTCCTTGAGGTCCTCCAGGGTGTGAGAGTGTTTTTGAAGCATGCTGTCTCCTGCCACAGAGGAACCTCTGCTGCTGGCAGAACTCAAGCCCGGGCGCCCCCACCAATTTGATTGGAAGTCAAGCTGTGAAACCTGGAGTGTCGCCTTCTCCCCAGATGGCTCCTGGTTTGCCTGGTCTCAAGGACATTGCATCGTCAAGCTGATCCCTTGGCCACTGGAGGAGCAGTTGTAAGTACTCCTTTTACCCAAAGGAATAAGGGCACTTTCCCAACTTACTCCCCTTTCTTTTTACTCCCTTTTCTTACTCCCTGTACAAAAACAGCAGAGGGAAAAAGTTCAGGAAACTGGAGTTCGCAGAACCCCAACATCCTGTGACTGGAAAATTCAGTTCTGTCAAGGTTGTCGTAACTCCACACTTTTTCTTAACTTTATTGAGACGTAATTTATACCCCATACAATTCACCAATTTAAAGTGTACCATATGGTGGCTTTTAGTGCATCCATAATCATATTCAACTTTTTCTTTACCTTAGAAAGATATCTTGTACTTGCTGCAGGAGACACCTCCAGTCCCTGGCAACTACTATCTTTCTGAATCAATCTATTGTGGATGTTTCTTATTAGTGGAATCTTAGAATATGTGGCTTTTTTGACCAGCTTCTCATAGCATAATGTTTCATGGTTCATAATGTAGTATGTATTAGTACATCTCCATTTGCCAAATAATTATTGTATGGTATGGAGAGATACCAAATTTTGTTTATACGTTTTTCATTGATTGATGGACATTTAGATTTTCTTTTTCTTTTCTTTTTTTTTTTCCTTTTCTCTTTTTTGGCTATTATGAATAGTGTTGTGGGTACAGTTTTCATGTGGTATGTGTTTTCAATGTTTAACTGAGGAAGTGCCAGACAGTTTTCTAAATTGGTGGCACCATTTTCAATCCTGCCAACTGTGCTTTCAGATTCCAATTCTCTGCATCCTCACCAGCACTTGATGTCTTTTTGATTTCAGCCTAGCATCCTAATGAGAGTGAAATTGAATGCCAGTGGTTTTGATTTGCATTTCCCTGGTAGTTACTGGTGTTTAGCACCTTCTCGCGTGCTTTTTGGCCATTTGTATATCTTCATTGGAGAAATATCTGTTTAGATCTTTAGACCATTTTAAAATTGAATGTTTTTCTTTGTTGACTTGGTTAAGTTTCTCATGCTAAAGTTTTTCTTTATCTGGAACAGTCAGATCCCAGGAAATGTTATGTAGGGCATTATGTTGGATATATTTGTACCTTTTTGTGTGTCTTGGGGCCACTCTATGTCTGCACTTATTTATTCTGGGAACTTTTGTTTCAATTATTTGCCTGACACTGAGCTAGAGGCCAAGAATTCTGAATTCTGAATTTTGAAGTACAATCAATTCATCCAGTTCTTGGGGTCTCATTTAGGCTTTTTTTTTGTACTGGGAATTGAACCCAGGGGGCTTAACCACTGAGCATCATGGCCAGCCCTTTTGTGTATTTTATTTAGAGACAGGGTCTCACTGAGTTGCTTGGGGCCTTACTGAATTGCTGCCTTTTTTGTGTGGGTGTTGGGGGGTGGTTACTAGGGATTGAACTCAGGGGCACTTGACCACTGAGCCACATCCCCAGCCCTGTTTTGTATTAGAGACAGGGTCTCCCAGAGTTGCTTAATGCCTCACCATTGCTGAGGCTGGCTTTGAACTGGCGATTCTCTTGCCTCTGTCTCCCCAGCAACTGGGATTACAGGCCTGTGCCACCACACTAGGCCTGCTTTAGGCATTTCTTATAATTGCAGGTTAGATTTAAGTTTTGTAATAATTCAGTCTGAAACTTGTTTCTCTAACAGTATGTGATGCTGACAAGAGTTTGCCAGAAGAATCTGCACACTGCTAGGGTTGAAGAGTGTGATATTGTGATTATTATTAATACTTTGTTGACATTACCAGTTTCCATTTCCTGGCACACAGCTCTTCAAATCCTTGGGATCTCCACAGTGATAAGTGTCTTTTTGTGTGCTGTTGAGTTGATTGTTGTCTGGTTGTCCCTAAGTACTTTGGGATGGAGGCTGGTCACCAGAGAGAGCAAGGCAGGACTAAGGGATTGGGACTTTCATCCCCAACTTGCAGGAAAGGGATAGGGGCTGAAGGTGAAGTTGATTGCCAGTGGCTGATGATGTAATTAACCATGCTTATGCAATGAAGCTTCTATAAAACCCAAAAAGGACTGGATTCAGAGCTAGATAAGTGAATACTTGGAAGTTTCTTGCAAGTTGATGGCCCTGGGGAGGGTGTGGAGTCTTTGTGCTCCTTCCTATATGCATTGCTCTATGCATCTCTTCCACTGTTACTGGTATTCTTTATAATAAATAGGTAAAAATTTAAGTAAGGCATTTTCCTGAGGTCTGTCTGCTGCTCTTAACAGATTTATTGAATCTGAGGAGGGGGTCATGGAAAGGAATCTTCATTTATAGCCAGTGGGTCAGAAGCACAGGGGAAACAACCTGGGACTTGGAGTAGACATCTGTAGCACAAAGGGAAGTTCTTGGGGACTGGGCTCTCAACCTGAGGGATCCAAGGCTATCTCCTTAGATTTAGTGTTAGAAGTGCATTGAGCTAAAACCACCCAGCAGGTGCCTGCTGCAGAATTGCTTACTTATGTGTGGGGAAAAGCCCCCATGTTTGGCCACAGAAGTCTTCTGTGTTGAGAATATAGGAGAGGGCTGGGGTAAATAAAATAAAGATATTGTATCCATGTATAACTAGGGAAAAAAAMCCAAAAAAATATAGGGAAAAAATGACTGATTTTTTTTTTTTTTTTACCCCCTGTACCATCAGAGGGGTAAACTTGTGCAGTTTCTGGAAGGAAGGCGATTTGACAAGACCTTAAAAATGGTCTCCTGGTGGGCTGGGGATGTGACTTAGTGGTAGGGGGTCAGGTCCTGAGTCCAATCCCTGGTACCCCTGCCCCCCCCCCCCACACACACAAATTCTTCTTACTATTAGGAATCTCAGAACCTGGGGGCACCTATTTACATGTGCTGGTTTTCATCATGAAATTAATAGTGAAAAAAATCAGAGGTCCCTTAAGATTAAGTAATAAAGGATGGTTAATTATGACATTTCCATATATTTGTAAAGTCATTAAAGCTATCATATTTGTAATCATGATCTTCAGTTCTTCTGTGGTCAGTTTACTGGTAATGGCGAGGATATTTATTGTTAATTAACCTCCCACTCCAAATGCAGGGGACTCTCCTTTGTACCTAGACTTAAGTCTGATATCAATTTATTGACTGAAAGTTTTTTGGGTTTTTTTGAAAATAGAATAAAATAGAAAATCTGTGTTTACCCCCAAATTAGATATATCTAAATATGTACATTAYTCTAGGTAAAAGTATTCTTTCAGTATTAACTAAAGGGAAATTGGAAAAGTCATTTGAATATTAACCCTTTTGTATATTTATTATTTAATGTAGTGAGAAAAGTACTAATATGTTAAATGAGAACTTACCTGGTTTTGGGGGGAAATCAAACATCTTGAAGAATAATATAACTGAGGAAATACATGCCATAAGGCTTGTTGAAGAAAGCAGACTATAAAACTGTATGTGCAATATTATCCCAAATTTATTTTWAAAAAAAATATGACTGTACACATAAATTAAAATCTGTAGTAAAATGTTTAGAATATTAATTGTGGATAATTTTTATTATTAGTTTCATTTCCAGATCTTCCCATATTTCTCTGTTGTAACTTGAAGTGATTTTAAAATTTTTTTTTTTAGTTRTACATGGGCACAATATCTTTATTTGGTTAATTTATTTTTATGTGGTGCTGAGGATCGAACCCAGGGTCTCACACGTGAGAGGCGAGTCTCTACCACTGAGCCACAAACCCAGCCCGTAATTGTTGTTTTAAAAGACCTTTAAAAGTGGGAATCAGGTCCAGTGGTACAGCCTATAATCCCAGTAACTCAGGAGGCTGAGGCAGGAGGATCACAAGTTGAAAGCCAGCCTCGGCAATTTAGCAAGACTCTGTCTCAAAAAAAAAAAAAAAAAAAATTATTACAGGGTTGGGGATTTAGCTCAGTGATTAAGCGACCTGGGTTCAATCCCTGATTCAAAAAATAAAAGCAGGAATCTGGAGCAGGGCATACTGGCTTGTCCCTGTAATCCCAGCTACTCAGGAGGCTGAGCAGAAAGATCAAAAATTAATGGCCAGCCTAGGCAATTTAGCGAGACCCTGTCTTAAAAAATAAAAGAGCTGGGGATGTAGCTCAGTGGTAGAGCACCTCTGGATTCAATCCAGGAGAGGAAGGATCTGGGGCATTTATRTGCTTAAGATTATAATGCATTAAAAAATTAGGAATTGCTTTAGGTATTGAGCCAAATAATCATCTTAACCAAAAGGTTTGGGAAGCTTTCTTTTCAGGTGAAGCTAAGCTAAGTTCTGTTAATGAATCTCCCTTCTCTTCAGCAGCCCCTTCCCACACTCCCACCTCCTACCTCCCATGCACCCTATCCCTAAATATTTGTTGAGTACTCACCCAAGACACCCAAGACTTGAGTTCTTTCTTTTTATTTTGCGGTATTGGGGATTGAACCCAGGGCCTTGTGCATGAGAGGCAAGCACTCTACCAACTGAGCTGCTTCCCTAGCCCCAAGACTTGAGTTCTAATTTCAGTTCTGCCCTTGACTTTGTGAGCCTGGGAAAGTTTTTTTTWAAAAAATATTTATTTATTTATTTATTTTAGTTTTCGGCGGACACAACATCTTTGTTTGTATGTGGTGCTGAGGATCGAACCCGGGCCGCACGCATGCCAGGCGAGCGCGCTACCTCTTGAGCCACATCCCCAGCCCTGGGAAAGTTAATAGCTCTACTCATACAGCAAGAATTTGAGTACAGTGATGCCCTGCTTAACAGTGTTTTGGTCAGTGAAAGACCACATGTTGGCAATTAATTTAATCTGAGGAGGGGGTCATGGAAAGGAACCTTCATTTATAGCCAGTGGGTCAGAAGCACAGGGAAAACATCCTGGGACTTGGGGTAGGCATCTGTAGCAGACAGGGAAGTTCTTGGGGACTGAGCCCTCATCCTATGGGATCCAAGGCTATCTCTTTAGATTTAGTGATAGAAGTGCATTGAGCTAAAACCACCCAGCAGGTGCCCAAAAGGTTGATTTGCCTAGTGACATTGTAACTGTTGATGGCACAAGAACAGAGTCTCCTAACTGAGCAGTTCTCAGCACATTTCTCTTTTGTTAAGTGGTTCATGACCCTCTTTCTAGAAACACTCAATTTATAATATTAAAATGAAATAATTTGGAAATGTGTCTTAATACATTTTGAATAAAGTAGTTACAGAAATAAATTAATTCAAATACAGAAATCCTAACTTTATAAAAGATAAAACATACCTTCCAAGCTCTTCTGTGATGTTCTTCCCATGGCCTGCTTTTATAGTCCTTCTCAAGGTGGCACTCACCTGCACCATGGCCAGGTAGGTCTGGTTAGCGTGGACAGGCAAGGAGGGCCACATAGGGAAAGGGCAGGATCAGCTGAAAAGACATTGGTTACATTCAGATTGTTTAGCCAGAAAAACACTTTTTCAGCCTCATTTGACCAWTTAGACCAGGGGCCAACAAACATTTTCTGTAAAGGCCCAAATGGTAAAAATTTTAGGCTTCATGGGCCACAAAATCTGTCAGGATTGTTCAGTTCTGCACCTGTAGCAATATGTACACAAGTGACAATGGCAGGGTTCCAGTAAAACTTTTATTTACAAAACTAAATCTAGTCATTTTCACAACATTGATAAATGTGAAGGACATTATGCTAAATGAAGTAAGCTGGGCACAGAAGGACAAATACCAAGCACGTTTATGTGTGGAATCTAAAAAATGTCGAACTCCTAGAAGCAGAGTGGGGGGCGGCCACCAGAGGGCCGGGAGGGGTGGGGATTTGGATCAAGGCTGCAGAGTTTGGGTTAAAGTGGGATGAGTTCTGGTGTACAACRTGGACACAATATTTAATAATATATTTGAAAAATTACTATAAGTAGATCTTAAGTATTCTCAGGAGGAAAAAAGTTTGTGAAGTGAAGGATATGTTAATGAGCTTGATTTAACYGCTCTACGTTGTATACATGTTTATGTTGTACATTGTAAATATATACAATTTTTATTTATTAAATAGACCATAATTTTTTTAAAATTGAGAACTTAAGGGATTGTTGAAAGAGTTAAAACAAAAACAGACTGCTGGCCCTGGCACAGTTTGCCAGCCTCTGATTTAGCCCACACTTGCCTCGGCTCCTTCCTTCTTATTTTCCAGGTGAGCTTGGTAAAATTTCTGATTTTAACATACAGTTGACAGAAGTGTGATTTGCTCAGAACTTCTGGGAAAGTGTGGAATAGAGGTCCGGGCATAGATACTGTGAGTGTAGGATTCCTCTCTGAAGTATGTCAGATTGCGCTGGGCCTGGCATTCTCTCTATCTCCCCCAGTGGCTGGACACGAGTGTGGTCATGGTCACTCAGAAAAGCAGGATTTACTAAAGGTGTGTTGCAAATAGTAAACTGTTCTCAGGCCAAATCCCAGACCTGTCTACTTTGAGACTTTGTCTTCTGGGCGTAGAGGTGGGCAGGGCCCAGTGACTCAGGGAGTGAGCTTCAGTTACCTGGAACAGAGTGAGGATATAAAAKGGAGAGGAATGTAAAGGAGGGGCTCGGGCCAGGAGATCTTCCGGAGGTATCCCTGTAAGCAGTTCTGTGGTTCTTTCTGTTTGTTGACTACTCTTCTGGTTGCTTCTTGTCCTGGATGTCCCACCAGGAAGTACCTGGAAGAACTTTATTATTGATTGGTGAATGTGGAAATAAGGAAGAGCCTTATTACTGGTGAAGGTGGAAATCAACATCTGCTAAACAAACTGTTGGCCAGACAGGTTTATTTCCCAGCTCTTTGAGGACTTCTGAGATAATAGAAGGGGACATGTTGGCTGGTGTTCAGGCTCTAATTCTGTCTGTCCTGGTTCCARACCTATGGTATAAGTATGCTCTCTCATGGGAAAAATGGAGTACATGTTTCTTTCCACGCACCAAAACCCAGGAGAACTTTCTGAGCAAGTGTGCAGCTCCCAGGAGCATCTGTGATCTAGTTATCCCATACGGCAGGTCACCCCATTGCAGGGCTGTTGCCAGTAGACTGAGACAAGGCCAGTGGAGCTTCTGTTACATGAGTTCCAAAATGACACAAAGTCACACTGGAATTTACTAAAAACCAACATTTCTTTCTAGGACTTTAATCGAGTGTTACTGTCCCAGGATGACAAGTTGATTGACTTGGTAACAATTTTAGACTCCAATCTTTGCTTTCTCCAGCATCCCTAAAGGGTTCGAAGCCAAAAGCCGAAGCAGCAAAAATGATACAAAAGGACGAGGGAGCCCAAAGGAGAAGACACTGGACTGTGGTCAGATTGTTTGGGGTTTGGCCTTCAGCCCGTGGCCTTCTCCACCCAGCAGGAAACTCTGGGCACGCCACCACCCCCAAGTGCCAGACATCTCTTGCCTGATCCTTGCCACAGGGCTTAATGATGGACAGATCAAGATTTGGGAGGTGCAGACAGGTARGTCTTTTCTAGCTGGCACAAGGTGTTCAGGCATATTTATATTCAAGAGGCATGTTCATGACCCGTTCCTGTCAGGTCCCCAGTTGTCCTGGGGTATAGGGTGATGGGCAGTCTGGGTGCCCCTCTCTGCTGACTGAGTCCTCTGTTCTCCTTTCAGGGCTTCTGCTTTTGAATCTTTCTGGCCACCAAGACGTTGTGAGAGATCTGAGCTTCACACCCAGTGGCAGTTTGATTTTGGTCTCTGCATCACGGGACAAGACTCTTCGCATCTGGGACCTGAATAAACATGGTAGGGAGGTGGTTAAACTAACTTGAAGGCTCCAGAAATAATGTATCTGCTCCTTTCTCAACCTCACCAATGCTATTTTTATCTAGAATGGTTTTTCAACACTTTTTTCTGTTATTGCCTTCTAAGGAGAYATTCTCTTCTTAATTACCCTTCTTGTCCCAAAGATGTCCTAAACCAAAGAAATACAGTGCAGTCATCCCTCAGTTATCAAAGGAACAAGTTTCAGGACCCCTGTGGATACCCAAAACTGTGGTTGTTCAAGTCTCTGATATGAAATAGCATAGTATTTCATATAACCAACATACTACGCTTGAAACTGTGTCTAGATGACTTAGAATGCCTAAGGGAAATGGTGGCTTCACTCTAATGACAGGAAAAATGATCTGTACGTGTTCAGTACAGACACAGCTAAAAAAATTTTCCATCCATGATAGTTAAATCTGTAAGTGTGGGGGGCACAGAGGGCTGATGGAACATTGATATATTAAAAGCATGTCTCTGCTTGGTATGCTTAAAAAAAAAAAAACAGGTTTCAGGCTCCCACGAGCCCCCTTGGAGTGGTGTTGCCCTACTGAAACATACAACACAGCAGGGCTTTACCCCGGCAGCTYGCTGTCCCGGGAGGGACTAGAGAGTGACTTGGGGAATCCCATGCTGGCTTGGAGAGAAGGAAGGGCTAGGTAAGCATGACTGAGAGCAGTGCAGGCCACGACTAGGGCTTCCTGAGAAAGGGGGCGTTGAGGTGGGGCTCCAGGGATCTGCCCTGCTGACGTGATCCCTTAACACCTTCTGTTCTCAGCACTTGGATGTGGTGGCTGAAGAGGCCATAACCCACTCTAAAAGTATTAACTTGTACATATCTGCATGTGCATAAAAATTTCATAAATTCCTAAGTATGACCACATATGGGTTTATAAAAATTCTTGTATTTTTTCCTTTGCTTGGCTTTCTCCTTCCCATTTTCTCCTGTCTTCCCTCTTGTGTGTCCTCCTCTCTTCCTTTGCAATCTGGTAACCCACGTTAAGAACCTACTTACATAGCTGACTGTAATTTTTTTCTATACTTACATAATCCTGCATACATGACTTACATCCATGGGTGTTGGAGACCATTGTTTCACAAAAATGGATCATATGCTTCCCATTTTTTCTGCATCTTGCTTTTTGTTTTGTTTTTGAGAAAAAGGAAAAAGAAGGTTTATTGCTTTGGTAGTAAAGAAGAAACACCAGGGGACTTCTGTCCTAAAGGCTGTGACTCTCAATCACAAGGGACAGGGGGGTTTTAAAGAAACTCTTCAAGGGTTACATTCCAGGTGTGCTTTGGTAGGGGTCCCAGGCCCCCTGATGGCATGTTGGCATCCCCTTCCTGTAGTGGTGTGTCCCAGGGCAGTTAACCAGGGGAAGAAAAGAGAACACTGTCTCCTAAACTTGTTAGGGAGGGGGAGAGGGGAAAAAAGAGAAAAAAAAAAAATTTTAAAGACTAAACCTTAGAGCAGTAAGGGCTATATTCAGAAAGTGAACAGACCCCTGTTACATTTCCCCACTGTTAATTTCCGCCTTCCATTTCTATGCATCTTGCTTTTTTCATTAAACATTACCCCATAGAAAAGTCTGTCTCTCTAATTCCATCCACATTAACAGACTAGATATACCCCCATTAATTCACCCACTCCCCTATGCCTGGGCATTAGGTTTTTTCCAAAAGCCAAGACCTGGAGAGATTGCGTGAGTCACTGGACTTCTGAACTGAGTATGCAGCGGAGCCGGGTGGCATTGAAACCCGAGTCATCTGACTCCAGAGCTTATGCCTGTAATTACTCCACACCTCGCCCCTTCTCCAGCAGACAACGTAGGACCRGAGGGAAGCCATTACGGAGGTTAAACAGAGAGTTGAAGATAAGCACTGTCAGTTGGGAAGGAGGCTTCAGAGCACTTGAGGTGGTTGGGAACCTGAAGAGAAGGATTTCTGCTATGAAAAGGTGTTAGATCTATGTTCACCCTTTTCCCTAGATTTATGTGGTGCCATGAATTCCCTTGGCCATTAGAATATCATATTAATAGATTGCAGCTGTTTTATTTTTCTTCTTTTCTGTTTACATGTTTAAATGAAAGTTGGACATAGTTCCTTTTCACCAAAGCCTTTGGGCCCAGTCTTGAGAGAACTGGATGATGTATAGAGTGCTGGGCCATTACTACTGGTACTTCTGCCTCCCGTCTCCATTGTTCTGCGGGGTGGCTTACTGTTTGTTTCTCTTCTTTGCCAGGTAAACAGATTCAGGTGTTATCAGGTCACCTCCAGTGGGTTTATTGCTGCTCCATCTCCCCTGACTGCAGTATGCTGTGCTCYGCAGCTGGAGAGAAGTCGGTAAGCCTCCAACAGTGGGTGCCATTTCCTCTACTGCTTCAGTTCATTGAGAAATAGGGGTCTGAAGCACTGGCTGTGTGTGTGTGAGAGCCAAAATCCACCTGCCGGCTGGCTGGCCTCAGCAGGAAGGCATGCTGATGGACTGGCACCCCACACACACACACACACTACTCTCAGCACCCTGATGTGGACCAAGAAGTGGAAGGTTCGGAAGTTGGTCTGAGGGGTGGTTTGCCTTTACAAAACAGAGAATGGGTGCTTGTTGGATCTCTTCTCCCTTTGGATTCTAAGATTTAAAAATTGCAACCTACATCTGGATCCAGATTTCCTTTGAATCATCTAGTTTGAATTTATCTAGGATTTTGAATTCAGATCGTGACATGATCAGGTACTTTTATTGTTGAACTTTGTCCTTTAATCCTGTTGTTTAAAAAAAAAAGAGAGAGAGAAAAGGCATTAGAATCTTAAGAACAAGCCTTTGGTGATTTGCCACTGTTTAGGTTTTGCATGTGTGTTGAACCCTTGCTGTAACTGACAGAAAGTTAGGTTAAGGGTCTGCTATTGATCCTACCCAGGTGGTTGCCCACTTGAGGTGTGAGACTATGTGAAATGAGAGTTTTCTTAAAGGAGAGAAAACAAAATGCCACTTTTAATGATTCTCGGGGTGGAAATGATAAGGTAGGTCAGAGAGTCGTAGTATATTCTCATGGGTTCTCTAAGAAAGGTGTGGGTGTAAAATGTCATCAGGGTGTCACTGCTTTGTGGGGTGGTCCAGAGTTCACCTCTGACCCCTATTTTTGGCTTTAAGTGGAACAAGGTAGTATTTGGCTCAAGTCTTCCTCAGCACATGCTACCTTATTTCAAGCAGAGCTCAGAAGCCTCTGGGGCCATTTCAGCTGGCAGCCTTCCAGGTTGGCTTGCTTAGTCTTATTAAAGAACACTCTTTGGGCGGGGCATAGTGGCACAAGTGCATAATCCCAGTTATTCGGGAGGCTGAGGCAGGAGGATTACAAGTTCAAAGTCAGCCTCAGGAACATAGTGGGACCCTATCTCAAGATAGAAAGTTTAAAAAAAGGGCTGGAGATAAAGACAACCAAGCTGACCATGCCCACTCAGTGCCTCATGAATTCAGGTCCGTTGCTTTGTTTCCCCCTGGATGATAGGCTGTGGAGGAGGAGGGCGGAATGGTTTCACCTGGCCATGGGGCCTGAAGAGGGGATTCTGGTGCCTTTTACTGCTGTTCAGGTCCTGGGTGCTTGGTTCCTGCCCCTCACCAGGCCCCTGTTTGTCCCCACAGGTCTTCCTCTGGAGCATGCGGTCCTACACACTAATCCGGAAGCTAGAAGGCCACCAAAGCAGTGTTGTCTCCTGTGACTTCTCTCCAGACTCTG